CACATATATATAATGTATGTGCACATACCTACTTGCATATATAATTATGTATATGTGATGTATATGTTTATATATCAGGGTCTCTGCCAGAAATAATGAACTATTTTAAATGAAGGGGAACCTGGATGGGTCAGTCGGTTAAGCATCCAACTGTTGATTTCAGCTCAGGTCATGATCTCATAGTTCATGAATTCAAGCCCCTTGTTGGGCTCTACGCTGAAGGTGTAGAGCTGCTTGGGATTCTCTCTCTCCCTCTCTCTCTGCCCTTCCCCTGCTCATGTTCTCTTTCTCTCTCTCTCTCGATCTCAAAAAATAAAATGTATAAACTTAAAAAAAACCTAAGCACAATAAAATTATTTTTTGAGATATAATTGACATACAACGTATTAGTTTTAGGTGTACAACATTATGATATGAATATGTATATATTGTGGAACGCCTGGGTGGCTCAGTCAGTTAAGCATCTGACTTCAGCTCAGGTCATGATCTCACCGTTCCTGAGTTCGAGTCCCACATCGGGCTCTGTGCTGATGGCTCAGACCCTGGAGCCTGTTTTGGATTCTGTGTCTCCCTCTCTGTCTCTGCCCCTCCTCCACTCGTGCTCTGTCTCTCTCTCAAAAATAAACATTAAAAATTTGCATATGTATATATTGTGAAATGATTATCACAACAAATTTCAGTTAACATCCATCATCTTATACAGTTACAATTGTTTTTTCCTTTCAAGATGAGAACTTTTAAGACCTTCTTTCTTAGCAACTTCAAAATACGCAATATAGTATTGTTAACTATAGTCACTATGCTGTACTTTACATCCCCAGAACTTGTATAACTTATAACCGGAGGCTGGTACTTTTTGATCCTCTTCACCCATTTCTTCCTTTCCAAACCCCACTCCTTTGCCAATCACCTATCTGGTCTCTGTGTCTATGAGCTCAAGTTTTTTAAAGATTCCACATATAAGAGAAATCATACAGTATTTGTCTTTCTGTCTGTCTTTTTTTACTTAATATAATGCCCTTAAGATCTATTCATGTTGTTGTAAAATAACAGGATTTCCTTATTTCTCATGGCTGAATAAATATTGCATGGTGTATGTACATGTATACATATGTGTATATATATGTACATATATATATATATCACATTTTCTTTTATCCATGTATCTGTCAGTGGACACTCTAATAAGGCTACTTATTAGATTGGATACTCTATAATCCAAGTTTATCAAGTGTTGTGAAACCCAGTTAATTCATGCTGAAGATAAGCTTAAAAGGAGTGTAATAAACATCTTTGATTAAAAAATGGAAACAGGTGTTAAGGGGGTCAATGCATATGAACTTATTAACAAATGCAGGTTTTTTAAATATATTTTTTAACGTTTATTTTTGAGAGAGAGAGCACGAACAGGGGAGGTGAAGAGAGAGGCAGAGAGAATCCCAAGAATCTGACAGTGCAGAGATGGATGTGGGGCTCAAACCCACAAACCATGAGATCACGACCTGAGCCGAAGAAGTCAGATGCTTAACCAACTGAGCCACCCATGCACCCCAACAAACATAGTTGTCGTTTTTTTTTTTTAAAGGCAAAGCCTTTCAAGTGGCCTAGAAAGAAATACAAAGGAGTGGGCACCTGGGCGACTCAGTCGGGTAAGCGTCCAACTCTTAGTTTCAGTTCAGGTCCTGATGTCACAGTTTTGTGAGTTTGAGGCCTGCACTGGGGGTCTGAGCTGATAGTGGGGAGTCTGCTTGGGATTCTCGCTCCCTCTCTGCCCTTCCCCCACTTACGCTGTCTCTGTCTCTCTCAAAATAGATAAATAAGCTTAAAGAGAAATACAAAGGGGAAAGGGAAAACAAATACAAACAAATTTCCTGAAAGGTGCAGAGGGAGACGAGAGCTGGAACTTTCTATGGTGAGTTAGGATAACCTGGAGCCTAGCTGGACTCTCCCAAGCCCCAGAAAAGCATCAGTGTGATGGACTGTCAGCTGTTGAGGATCCTGAGGTGCATATCCTGTGCTTCAAATAAGTATACAGCATGAGTAAAAGATGAAAATACAGTTCTGTCAACATTAAGCCTTTTAAAAAATAAGATCTTCATAATAAGATTTTTTTTTTATTATTTCTAGGAGAGAGAGAGAGACAGTGTGAGCAGGGGAGGGTCAGAGAGAGAGGGAGTCACAGACTGAAACAGGCTCCAGGCTCTGAGCTGGCAGTCAGCACAGAGCCCGACGCGGGGCTCGAACCCACGAACCACGAGATCATGACCTGAGCGAAAGTCGGACGCTTAACCGACTAAGCCACCCAGGCGCCCCCATAATAAGATTTAAATAACTCCCTCCTGTTCCTAACAGATTTGTAAGTCTTTGTCAGGTGTTAATAGCATATCAGACGGGAACTCCTAGGATTTGAATGTACATTTTGACTTGGTTCCCGCGGATAGATTCCTCACGTTCCTTGATTTTGCTTGACTGATTTTTCCATAACCTGCAGGGATTCATAGGCTCTCTGTGGCCACATTCGTTCTTGATTTGAAATCTATTTGTTCAACAGATGGGACCAAATTTATTCATCAGCAAATCCTAACCCTCCCATAACAACTAGTTTCCTTCCCTTGCGGAGTTTGAGAGGCTTCGTGAAGGATCCGGTGGAAAACAGTGAGACTCCCTGCTGGCACTTCTCCAGACTCTGCTCCTTCCCCAACACAGGAATAACCAGGGGTGGTTTTCGTTTGAGGTCACAGTGTATCACTGACTATGACACCTTCCTTTCTTAACACCATATGAATTTAATGACAGGAAATACAGTAAGGTGGAGTAAGAAGCAGCTCGAAGAAGTGTGTGTGTAACATTCGATCCCATTATTTTTCCTCCACAAGCGTGAGAAACAGTTGTTTGCATCCTTGGTGACCTCTCTTCTTAAAAGGCCAATGTACCCTTTCACTAGAGGTTAAAAGGTTTAAAATCATAGCGAACATTTACCAAGCACGGCTTTCCCAGGGAAAATTTTAAATAGATATGGTAGAAGTGAAGCCATATTGGAGTGACTGGTCGGCTCAGTCGCTTAGGCATCTGAGTCTTGGCTTGGGCTCAGGTCATGATCTCACAGTTTGTGGGTTCAAACCCTGAGTTAGGCTCCTGCCCTGACAGTGCAGAGCCTGCTTGGGTTTCTCTCTCTCCTTCTCTCTCTGCCCCACCACACCCCTCACGTGTGCATTCTCTCTCTCTCTCTCTCTCTCTCTCAAAATAAACAAATAAACTTTAAAAAACAATAAGAAAGAAGTGAAGCCATATTCACTAAACATAAACCTATGGGTCTGGGGGAAAGAGAGATATGCTCATTGATGTTCATTTTATGTTCCTTTGCTAATAAAATAACAACATAATTCTTTACATTTATCAGACAGAGCAAGATGTAACACTGGCTTTCAAAGCCTCAGCATTTGCCTTTTCCCTTCAAATGAACATTCGCAGGAGAAAATATTACAGGCAATTCAGCGGATACTGTGCCTGGTTTAAACACAGCACTATGGTCACTCAGATTTCTTTTAGGCTATAGACACATGGGCCAGTGCTTATTTTCATGGTTGATTTAATCCATCCCCTCTGCCACTGTGGGATTATTCTCTACAGTTATTCTCTAGTGATCTGTCAGTTCAGATTAAAAAAAGTTAAGTGACAAAGATACGGTGGCTGGTTCCTTCAGAAGGCTGTGGATCCTAGGATGTATAGCAAGAGATTTCTTTTTAAGAATCTGACTGTGTTCTCCTCATTTTAACTCCCCACCATGTCACTCTGAGCCTTCCTTATCTAGGCTGAACTTCAAACTCCTTAAGCGGGTAATTCAGTTTGGTTCCTATACAACAACTTCCGCATTGCCAGAAGGTTTATAGTTCTTCCCTTATTCGTTCTTGTTTATTTCTTGAGAAGGGGAGACAGCATATTAGCATATATTTCCTCTCATTTTGCAGATGAGGAAATCTAAACTCAGACGTGAATCTAGGACTACGTGTATTCTAGCTTTGCTTGTCCTGATAATACAATAACCGATAATACTTTCCTTAAGCTACATCTATTTTTATATTTTCAAAGATAGGAATTAAAAATAAACCCTTGCTAGTTTTGCAATTCCATTCCAGAGCCATTGGAAGCCATCTGGTACAGAATAACTTTATTTATTTATTTATTATTTATTTATTTATTTATGAAATAGGCTTCAACCCTGGCATGGAGCCTAATGTGCGGCTTGAGTTCCTGACCCCAACATCAAGAACTGAGCTGAGATCAAGGACTGGATGTTTAACCAACTGAGCCACCCAGGTGCCCCACAAAATGACTTTAATTGTGTGGCAAAAAGTTACTTATATTGCATCATAAATATTATTATAATTCTCACTTCTATTTTCTTTTTCTATTTCTACAGTAGAATTCTTTGGTAGAATAATTAATATACCTCATGACTAATCTGGTTAGGTTGCATTGATGTGCAAATTGGCCATTCGATTCACATAGTTCATTCTAAGCTTTTATATGTACAAAGTTAAAAAGAAGAAAACAAATAGTTTCAATGAAATAATTATGTTAATGATAACTCTATTGGAGGAAAGAGCCAACAAAAAAACTTTGGAAAATTCATAAAAAGCAATAGATGCTGGAAAATTAGTGAGGTTTGAATATAATATGGTCGTATCCCCTATATGGGTACAAATGTTTGTGCAAATATTTCGTGGATTTCTGCCAGGCTGGTTGATCTTGCTTATGGGAAGTAAAGTAGCATTATTTTTACTTTGTTAACGCAATCTGGACACAAGAGACAAACACAAATGTTATCAGAAAGGCTAGATCAGGTTATACTGAGGTAACAAGTAGCTCTAAAATCCCAGCTGTTTAGCTCAACAAAGCTTATTTCTTTCCATGTCATTGTAAGTCGGCAGGGGCTCTTAGCTCATTATAGTCACTTAGGTGCCCAAGCTGATGCAACAATCACTCCCTTGAACGCAGCCACGATGATGCCAGGAGGAAAGAGCTCATAGGGGTGGGGATTAAATGCTCTGGCTCGGAAGCCACGTCATCATGTTCTCTCACAACTCATTGGCCAGCACTAGTCATGTGGCACACAAAACGCAAGACCGGGATGTGTCATACTTTCAACTCCCAGAGAGTGAGGAAAGCCAGAAAAATTCGGTGAAGGTAATTAATGACCTCCATGAAGGCAACGCTCTGCCTCTCCCACAGCATCTGCATTCATTACTTCCTTTCCGTTTTTGTTTTCCCTCATATTAAATTTAATGCTTAAATTTAAATTTAACCCTTAAACTTAATTTCCCTTAAATTTTTAAAAATTTCTTTTTAATGTTTATTTATTTTTGAGAGAGAGAGAGAGAGAGAGAGAGTGAGCAGGGGGGTCAGAGAGAGAGGGAGATACAGACTCTGAAACAGGCTCCAGGCTCTGAGCTGGCTGTCAGCACAGAGCCCGACGCGGGGCTCGAACCCACGAACCGCGAGATCATGACCTGAGCGAAAGTCGGCCGCTTAACCGACTGAGCCACCCAGGCGCCCCTCAAATATTTATTTATTTTTGAGAGAGTGACCGTGAGGAGGGGAGGGACAGAGAGAGGGGGAGACAGAGGATCTGTGGCAGGCTCTGCACTGACAACACAGAGCCTGATGAGGGGCTTGATCTCATAAGCTGTGAGATCATGACCCGAGCTGAAGTCAGACACTTAACTGACCGAGCCACCCAGGTGCCCCTATCATAGGAAAATTTTTGAGGTGAAAGAGATTCATTGCTCAGGTTTCTAAAAGAGTAGGATCTATAATTAACCTTAGGGAGGGGTATAGATTTGTAAGAGAAAAAAGTCAAATTCCTGTGTTCCTTTTTTTGGTAACTATACAGGCAAAGGTAGCCATGTCCTAAACAGTCTGTGGAATAATTTTGTTTATGAACTAGAAAGTTCATAGGAAGTGAAGGAAGTGAAGGAACATTTAAGAATTCAAGATTTGAAGGTGTGCTATAGAAACTCAACATGAAATATGTATATAAAACATGGTCAAATAGGAAATGACAAGCCTAGAATGCTCTGAAAGGTTATCTGGAAAAACGACAAAGGGCTTCAGGTGAGTCTGCCATGGATAGATTAACTCATAATCTTAGAAGAGTGAAAAATGTCATCACAACCTAGGACTGACCCAAATTGCACCCAATCTGGGGAGAAACATCATAGAGCATCTGGATTAAGAGGGTTTGAGTTGAAGTCAGGTTTTTAGTATGTCCTAGCTAGCAGGATGTGAAGTCAGCCAGGCATAACAATCACGTTGCCTGGTTAAGTGAGCCAGTGGGAGAAGGGCAGAATGGCCATGTGGATGAGGGGGGTGGCGGCACGGGTCAGTGGCCGTCCTCCACTTTCCACGGCCATGCTCTACTCCTCGCTGTCAGCAAATGCATGTTCTGTGCATGAGGGAGACGGGCAGGAGTGTGGGATGAGCACAAATTCACTAACAGTATTGGTGAACAACACCTAGAGATCCTTTCTACTTATAATGAATTATGAAACTAAATACACGTCTTGAACATGTTACAGATAAGCTGTTTAGAGGAAGATGAGAATTTGCATTTTATGGCAACACAGCATCTCATAAGTTACTCATTCTCATCGTTGCTTGCCTGGACCGATGTAATGGCCTCCTGTTTTCTCTTCCAATATGTGTGTATGTGCGTGTATATATATGTGTGTGTGTCTGTCTGTGTGTGTATAAATATATATGTATATATATGTGTGAATATATATATATTCACCTTCATAGCAATGATTTTTACATTGTAAGTGCTTCTTTTCTTTTTAAATTTAAGTACAGTTGCCACACATTACATAAGTTTCAGGTGTACGACAGTGATTCAACAACTCTGTAGGTTATGCTATGCCACCATAAATGTAGCTATCATCTACAAAATATATGTAAGATAAAATAAGTATATATATTTTATTTTTTTTTTCTTGTTTATTTATTTTTGAAAGAGAACCAGAGACAGTGCGAGTGAGGGAGGGGCAGAGAGAGAGGGGTGGTGACACAGAATCCAAAGCAGGCTCTAGGCTCTGAGCTGTCAGCACAGAGCCTGATGTGGGGCTCTGACTCACAAACAGGGACATCATGACCTGAGCCGAAGTCAGACGTTTAACTGACTGAGCCACTCAGGTGCCCCAAGTATATACATTTTAAAATATTTTTTTAGACCTTTTTGTATTTATTTATTTATTTTGAGAAATAGAGGGAGCATGAGCAGGGAGGGGCAGAGAGAGAGGGGTGGTGACACAGAATCCAAAGCAGGCTCTAGGCTCTGAGCTGTCAGCACAGAGCCTGATGTGGGGCTCTGACTCACAAACAGGGACATCATGACCTGAGCCGAAGTCAGACGTTTAACTGACTGAGCCACTCAGGTGCCCCAAGTATATACATTTTAAAATATTTTTTTAGACCTTTTTGTATTTATTTATTTATTTTGAGAAATAGAGGGAGCATGAGCAGGGAGGGGCAGAGAGAGAGAGAGAAAGAATTCTAAGCAGACTTTGCGCTGTTAACGCAGAGCTGGATGTGGGGCTTGACCTCATCAACACTGAGATCATGACTTGAACCGAAATCAAGAGTTGACGCTTAATCAACGAGCCACCCAGGTGCTCCCAAAATAAATATATCTTTAAAGTACCGTTCCCCCTTGCTTCTCCTTCTTCTCCCTCTCCCTTCCTCCTTCTTTCTCCCCATATTCCTCCCTTACTTCCTTTTGACCTATCTTCCCTCCGTACTCTAAAAAGTTATTAAGTACCTCATGTGCCAGGGAAGTATACGTGTGAATTAGACTCATTTCCCATAGTTCATTCACATTCTTCCTGGGGAAAGACATGCGAATGGCCAGTCACAATACAATGTGATACATTAATACTTTTTTTTTTTCTTTTCTGTGTCTCTTCTTCTTTTCTCCCTGGTGTTGCCCTTGTGAGTCTAAGACCTTTGTTAGGTAGAAAGGTACGTTTCTCTTCCTGTGGAAACATTCATTCAGCATTCAACACGTATTTATTGTCTGCTTATTACCAAAGCTGTCAATCTTCAGGGTGCAGAGGGAGAACCCGGCATGCTTGTAAAAGGCTGATTTCAAGACCCCACAGATTGTGATAAGGTGTGTCTCCAGTGGGCCGACTGTGGTCAGGTAGATCTCCAGTGGGCCGACTGCGGTCAGGTAGATCTCCAGTGGGCCGACTGTGATCAGGTAGGTCTCCAGTGGGCCGACTGTGGTCAGGTAGATCTCCAGTGGGTTGAGGAACTAGCCGCTTTTAACCAAGCATCTGGTACAGGAAGTAACCGGTCTATACTTGAGTACAACTGGTCTCCCCTGGGTTCTGGACCCTGTGCCGGGTGCCTGCGAAGGCCCAGATAACCAGGCATATTTCTAACCCTCAAGAATCTAACTGATTGATGGCATATACATATAGCCTGCAAATTATTGACATATGTGAGTGTGTATTTCTCTTGGGGATGTTTACAAGCCATGGGGTTGTGGTAGAATTTGTGTGGGAAATGAGAGAGAGCACTCACTGCAAGTGGCAAGAAAGAAAGGGGTTTCTACTACTGGGGAAAGGGTCAGGTTGATGAGAGAGGGGAATCGAAGACAACCACAGCGAAAGAGTGACTTCTAATCTGAAGATTCTCCTGCCAGGATTCTGCCAAGTGTATGAGAATCAGAGCTGGCAGGGTCTTTGAAACTCCTCATGCCCAACCTCACCCTTGAGAAATAAGAAAATGAGGCCCAGAGACCTTAAATGATTGGCTCAAGTGCATACAGAGGAAAAGGTATCCAATACTTTGGATACATTTTGAACCAATAACCACTTACACCAAGGATAGTCTTTTATTTGCTTAGGATTTTAGGGACAGTTCAAATCCAATAGGTAATATCCCCTAAATACATGAGTAAATGAGTGAATTAGTTAGAAAGACCTCCAAAAGTTTCTTTTTAAAAATTGTTTTTTTAATGCTGATTTATTTTTGAGAAAGAGAGAGCACAAGCAGGGGAGAGGCAGAGAGAGGGGGCGGGGGGGAGACACAGAATCTGAAGCAGGCTCCAGGCTCTGAGCTGTCAGCACAGAGCCCGACACAGGGTTTGAACCCACGAACCGTGAGATCATGACCTGAGCTGAAGTCAGAAGTTTAACCGACTAAGCCACCCAGGCACCCCTAAATGTTTCTTTTTAAGAACTCTTTTATCTCAGATAATACAAGTAAGTGAAAAAGTCCCCTTGGTAATTTATTATCTCTTAGCTTTTGACCATAAATTATTAAACTTGAAAGATATCATTGGCACAAACACCGAACTGTGTATATATCTTCATTTGTTCGGGCAACATGTCCTTACTGAGTGCCTACTGTGTTCCAGGCACTGTGACTGCCCCCAAGCAATTTGGAATATTAAAGAAGGAAGTGTTCACATGAGTAAGGACTGTGGTTCTTTCTGGGCGTGTGCTGGCTTTTCTAAACCATCAGTGAGTGCCAGCCATGTGGGCAGCCTATGTCTAGGTCCAGCTGGGAGACAGTTTTAACTGCTAGTGAATTAGGGGGTCCTCTGGGAATGACCACCCTTCCAAACATTCAGGACCAGTTCAAGCATCTCAGTGACATGTATTTCCTTTTAGCCTGAAGGATGGCTTTCTGCAGAGGTGGAGGGCTTTGAGAAAGAGAAGAAGTTCCTGTTCTGGAACGGAGTGACTCACTTATCCTAGAGGGAAGGTGGGCTCTTGACTCTTTCTTCTCTCACACTGAGGCAACCGCATGTCACCAGGAAGCTTTACCATCTTGGGCTGTACCTGCACGAGTGCTCTGTGGTTTTCCCCCTTGTTTTCAGGTGAAAGGATTTAAACAGAGACTAGATATTTGAAAAGAATCAAATCCACATGAGTAAGTTTTTCCTTTTTTTAAATTATTAGGCAGTTACTAAAGTAAATTTCTTTCCTCGAGTTCATAACTACAATGACATTTCATCTTCCTACAGCTACAGCAGAGTAGGGCCATAGAGAGAGGAAATCTGCTGCCTTGTCTTAGAAATATCTACTTCAAAAGTACGCAGATGCAAATGTAGGAAGATGATTGAGAAAGTGAGTCTTTCCAATGATAGTCTACACAGAGCACTAGGTGCTAGACCAACTAAGGTGCTCTCAGGTCATACAGAATAGAACTTCTCAGATGTAGGAACTGCTTGGTGATGTCCCCCCACATCTCCATCCCAAGCCCTGATTTGCCCGCACCGCAGAACCAGAGCTCTGGCCAGAAGCTCAACGGGGCCTCGGGGCAAGCTCCCTTCTTAGGTCTTTTTCAGCCTCATTACTGGAGATCCTAACACTTTGCCGTCAAACCTTTTCATCTGAGTCCCTGGACTGGTGGGGATGAATGTCAAACGCAGCTCCGCCTAAGAGCACAATCCCTTTGTTAGTGTCACAGTTAAACATGGAAATCAAAAGCTATGCCCTTTGTAGTGTTCAGAGGGTCCTTGGCAATAACATAAACGCAAATCCATTGACTCAGGGACCTGAGTGGTACCATGTGAATATTTAGGACGGGAACACTGGAAAGATGACAGGTTGAACGTTGAGCCCTGTTGCTAGATCAGGAGGCATAGTCCTTCTGGGATTTCTACTACTGTTACTACTATTATTGTGACGACTGCTGTTTCTACTCTCACTGCTGTTACTCAGATTGTTACCGACGTGGTTGTGAGAACACAGTGCTAGATAGAACGTGAACTCTATCTAGCAGTCTGCTCCTAACCAATGTCTCTCACCTGAACTGGTAAGACTTCCCCACAAGACAAGTAGGTCAAAAGGATGGCGTAATTCTTTTGGGGGGCTGATTGTTTACCGAATCTTAGGTCTTCTGTCTATAAAATGAGGAAAATCAGTGACTCCATACAGGTGTTCCGAAGCTAAAACGATAGAGCGCATGTAAAGCCCGCAGCCATCCATGAGGTAGGAGCATCAAAAGTGTTCATGCTTTCCTTTCTGTTCTTCCACCCCTACTGCTCTTCCTGCTGCTGAAGACTCTCACTTGGATTGAAGTGAGAGTTCTGTGAGATAAGTGCAGGGGTTTGAAGGGGAGAAAGGACGGAAAAGGGAAGGTAGCTTCTAGAAAAGCAAGGCTGCACTGTTTCCAGTAGCGACAAGAGGCGGTTGGTACAGAAAGGCTGCCTGCCAGAAAGACAGAGACGAATGAAAACGGTCTATAAACTAGTGGATTTTATTTTTCTAACAATGCAGAGTTAGCAACTTGAAAACACCAACTTACACAGTCAAAAACTTCTCTGATCGTTCACCGAGTACTTACTACATGTCACACTCAACCTCCTAGAACTCTTACAAAAGCCCCTTGGTGGTTAACTGGCACGTACGGCTTAACAACAGGCCAGGCACATGTCAGGCCAGGAAAGTCCTTCTCGGGAGTGAGGAGTGACTCTAGAGTCCTTATGTCCTTTTGGAAAAATTAGCATTGGAAATTGCTAAGGAAACATTTACAAATGGGAAGAAGGTTCTCTCTGATGGGTTTACAGAATTAGAACAGCGAGCTTCCCTCAAAAGTCCTAATCTATACGTAGCTATCCCCCACTTGGCAATGACCGGGAAACACAACGCTTTCTTTCTATGGCTGTAAAGCAGGATACTCAAATAGTGC